TTTGGCCGGCTAGATCTCCCGATCTGGATACGCACTTTTTATAGAAATAAGCAATTTTTGTCAGACACCTGGTGGTGTTCTGCCTTTGGAGGTTTATTTATTGCTGCTTTTTATTGTTATTTATGTTAATCTTGGTGTCGTAATGCAAGTTTGTGGTTTGCGAGGGACAAATTTTCGGAGTTATTATGGAATGGGTGGATTGGGTAAATGTGTTGAGGTTTTGCAAATCATGGGTTAAACAAATGGAATGGAGAAGAATCGTTTCAGCGTCTGTGTATTGATTTCTATTTATTAACATATTGTTGTTCGATATATCATTAATCATTTTATTTCGCTTTTGTGGTTGCAATGTTGCTGCGGGTCTAATTAGGCGCCGAACCGTCCAAGTCTTGTTTTTTATTCGCATAGTCGTTATTTAGTTGCAAAATCTTCCAATACGTCCCTGTATGTATATAATTAAAAAGTTGATTTAAAGTTTTTTAGACAGAACTTGAGAAATCATCCTAATAGTTCTGGAGATTATCTGTTTAATAAATTCTAGGATTTTTTTTAAATTGGCTTTCAAGTCGAATATTTCGAAAATCTTGTACTAGGACCATAAACATGCCGTATTTTTATAATCAGCACATGGAGCTCTATATCCCATAATTGTTTGTGGATTTTTAGACAACTTTTCCAAAAACCCAATTTTTCTCCCTTTAAAAATTTTCTCCTTTTTTCGAAAACTGTCGAAAATTACATTTCAACCCCTGTAATTCATTTCCGGCTTAATTTTTTCGAAAATATGATATTTTTCAATAGTTTCAAATTTAATTGCTACTTTAAATCAAAATTTTCAAAATTGTTGGTGTTTCCTTTGAAACCAAATGGGGGATTTTGAAAAAAATATATTAGTAAAAAAGTTTTTATTAAATTGTGACTTTTTTTGTACGAAAAGTAAACGTTTTGACACCTATCAAAATTGTCAAATTTCAAAATTGAACGCAAGTTTTTATAATAATTTTGTAAATAATTCAATTTTTGTCCTTAATATTTTAATTTTTCACCGACTTTTTTATTTTTGACGATGTTTAAAGAATCTTGGAGAAGTCTGGTGCTTTAGTTTTGAAGAAGTTTCTTAATCTTGGAGGATGTCTGGTGTTCTATTTTCGAAAAGAGAACTTTGGTGCTTTATTTATGAAGAAGTTTAAAGAATCTCGGGAGACCTTTGGTGCTTTATTTTTGAAGATGTTTAAAGAATCTCGGGGAATCATGGTGTGTTATTTTGGAAAAAGTTTAAAGAGTCTTGGAGACTTTTGGTGCTTTGTTTTTAAAGAAGTTTAAAGAACCTCGGAGGCCTCTGATTTTTATTTTTCAAGAAGTTTAAAGAATCTCGGGGACCCCAGACGTTTATTTTTTTTAATTTAAAGATTTTTATGAACCTGTGGTGTTTTATTTTTGAAGAAGTTTGAAGAACTCGGAAGATTTTTGGTGTTTTATTTTTTAAGAAGTTTAAAGAATTATTTTTGAAAGGATTTTAAAAAATCTCAAGGACCTCTAACATTTTCTTTTGAAGAAATTTAGGGAATCTCATGGACGTCTGCTGTTTTATTTTTGAGGAAATTTCAAGAATTTCGAGGACCTCTGGTGCTTTATTTTTGAAGAAATTTGAAGAATCTCGGGTGTCCCTTGTGTGTGTTTTTTTTTTAAGAATGAAAAAGTTTAAAGAGCCTCGAAGATCTCTGGTTTTTTATTTTTGAAGAAGTTTAAAAAATCTCGGGAGACTTTTAGTGCTTTATTTATCAAGAAGTTTAAAGAAACTCGGAAAATTGTTGGTGTTTTATTTTTGAGGAATTTTAAAGAATCTTGGGAATTTCTGATGCCTCATTTTTAAATGAGTAAAAAGAACCTCCGGAGACATCTAGTGGTTTATTTTTGAAAAAGTTTAAAGAATCTTGGGAACCTCTGTTCTTTTATTTTTGAAGATGTTTAAAGAATCTCAGGAGCCCTTTGGTGCTTTATTTTTAAATGAGTTTAAAGATTCTCCGGGGATCTCTAGTGCTTTATTTTTGAAGATTTTTAAAAAATCTCGGACACCCCTTGTCTTTTTTTTTGAAGAAGTTTACAGAAGCACGGGGACCTCTGATCTTTTATTTTTGAAGATGTTTCCAGAATCTCGGGGATTCCTGATGCTTTATTTTTGAAAAAGATTAAAGAATATCCAGGAACTTTTGGTGCTTTATTTTTGAAGAAGTTTAAAGAATCTCGGGAGACCTTTGGTGCTTTATTTTTAAATGAATTTAAAGAATCTCCGGGGATCTCAGATGCTTTATTTTTGAAGAAATTTAAAGAATCTCGGGAAATCTTTGGTGCTTTATTTTTAAAGGAGTTTAAAGAATCTTAGGAGACATCTGGTGCTTTATTTTTTAAGATATTTAAAGCATTTCGAGGACCCCTAGTGTTTTTTTTTAAGAAAAGATCTCTGGTGCTTTATTTTTGAAGAAGTTTAAAGAATCTCGAGATCCCTTTGGTGTTTTATTTTTGGAGGAGTTTAAAAATATCGGAAAACTTCTGGTGTTTTATTTTTGAAGAAGTTTAAAGAATCTTAGGAGACATCTGGTGCTTTATTTTTTTAAGATATTTAAAGCATTTCGAGGACCCCTAGTGTTTTTTTTTTAAGAAAAGATCTCTGGTGCTTTATTTTTGAAAAAGTTTAAAGAATCTCGAGATCCCTTTGGTGCTTTATTTTTGGAGGAGTTTAAAAATATCGCAAAACTCCTAGTGTTTTATTTTTGAAGATGTTTAAAGAATCTCGGAAGACCTTTGGTCCTTTATTTTTGAAGATGTTTAAAGAATCTCTGGGGATCTCTGATGCCTTATTTTTGAAGATGTTTAAAGAATCTCCGGGAATTTCTGGTGCTTTATTTTTGAAGATTTTTATTCAGATACATTTCCTAAATTTCAAACCAAATTAAGGCAAATCTTATTTTAAAAATATTGTAACATTCTCATGTGATTTTATTATTTTTTCTTTGTATTGTTTAAGGATGTTTTTCCGTCAATAAAGTAAGTAAGTAAGTAAGTAAGTAAGTAAGTAAGATGTTTAAATAATCTCGGGAACTGCTTGTGTTTTATTTTTGAAAAAGATTAAAGAATCTTGTGTAACTCTGATGTTTTATTTTTGAAGATGTTTAAAGAATCTTGGGATATCTTTGGTGCTTTATTTTTAAAGGAGTTTAAAGAATCTCCGGGGAACTCAGGTGCTCTATTTTAGAAAAAGTTTCAAGAATCTCGGGAAAACTTTGGTGATTTATTTTTGAAGAAGTTTAAAAAATCTTGGAAAACCTTTATTGTTTTATTTTTAAAAAAGTTTAAGAAATCTCGGAAAGCCTCTGGTGCTTTATTTTTGAAGAAATCTAAAAAGTCTCAGAGACTTTGGTGTTTTATTTTTGAAGAGGGGACCTCTGGTGCTTTATTTTTGAAGATGTTTAAATAATCTCGGGAACTGCTGGTGTTTTATTTTTGAAAAAGATTAAAGGATCTTGGGTAACCCTGTCGTTTTATTTTTGAAGATGTTTAAAGAATCTCGGGATATATTTGGTGTTTTATTTTTAAATGAGTTTAAAGAATACCCGGAGACCTGTAGTGCTTTATTCTTGAAGGTGTTTAAAGAATCTCGGGAACTGCTGGTGCTTTATTTTTGAAGATGTTTAAAGAATCTCGAGAGATCTTTAGTGCTTTATTTTTGAAGATGTTTAAAGAATCTCCGGGAAGCTCTTGTGTTTTATTAATGTAGATGTTTAAAGAATCTCGGGAGATCTTTGGTGCTTTATTTTTGAAAATATTTAAAGAATCTCCGGGAACATCTGATGATTTATTTTTGAGGATGTTTAAAGAATCTCGGGATACCTTTTATGCTGTATTTTTGAAGATGTTTAAAGAATCTCGGTAACTCTTGGTGTTTTATTTTTGAAAAAATGACCTCTGGCGCTTTATTTTTTAAAAAACCTAAAAAAACTCGACCCCTGGTGTTTTATTTTTGAAGGGGGGATTTCTTGTGCTTTATTTTGAAGCAGTTTAAAGAATCTCGGGAACTCATGGTGTTTTATTTTTGAAAAAGTTTAGAGAATCTTGAGACCTCTGATGTTTTATTTTTGAAGATGTTTAAAGAGTCTCGGGAGACCTTTGGTGATTTATTTTTGAAGATGTTCAAAGAATCTCGGGGACTCTTGATATTTTATTTTTGAAAAAGTTTAAAAAATCTCCGGGAACCGCTGGTGTTTTATTTTTGAAGATGTTTAAAGAATCTCGGGAATTCCTGGTGTTTTACTTTTCAAAAAGATTAAAGAATCTTGGGAAACTCCAATGTTTAAAGAATCTCGAGGATTCCTGATGTTTTATTTTTGAAAAAGTTTGAAGAATCTGGTGCTTTATTTTTGAAAAGTTTAAAAAATCTCGAATAAGCTCTGGTGTTTTATTTTTGAAGAAGTTTAAAAAGTCTCGGAGAATCTCTGCTGTTTTATTTTATAAGAAATTTAAAAAATCTTGGGGATCTCTTTAAAATAGTTCGGCCATTATTCGACCATCTTCGAATTTCAACTAATTATATTTTCTTGTACATTTCGACCTCCAGAAGTTATTTTCGGCCTCATTTCCTCGATAAATCCTACCATTTTTCCAGAATCGCCCATTCAAATATGCAATTTTTAGGATTAAAAAATAATAATTTCAAACCAATTATTATTTCTAAAAATTTGTCCCGTGGTTATAAATAGGGTGTATAAGTGAAATCAGTACATCGAAATCTACATCTCACAAAGAATGAAAAAAATATTCCGGAATTCCAAGCGTGTTAAAAATTTCTGGCGAATCCGAAAAGGATTATCTTAATTTTGAAAAGTTAAAGTTAAATTGTTAAGAATTCTAAAATGTCTTGCAGAAGCTGTCACAATCTTCTGAAAGTAGTCGTCAAACAATCTTCTTTGATGTTTTGGTTAGTTTGCTGGTAGAGAAAAAAACACTTGTTTGCATTAAGAGAATACATTATATATTTTGACATCTGAAAGGGAACAGATCCATAATGTTGCTGTGGTCTGTTCAAGATAACATAGTGAATACACATCAGATTAGCTATTACAAGCATGAGTGAAATGGTCAACCATCTCACAATCACACAAATGTTTAAAATCTTAAAACACCAAATCTTGATAACGAATGAACATCAATAAAGTCTATAATTGTCAATAAATGTTTTATCCATTCAATCCGAGAGATTCCAATTTCAAGGTAATGATACATATGAATCTTATCCATATCCAATGTAAGTCCCATCAAACCAGTTGATGGCGTAGATCAAAGGGTATTTTTAAGTCGCGCACTGATTTTACCTTGCCGTGTTGCGCTAGGAGAAACGCTTGATATAAACCCGAATTTGCATCAAACGTTCCGAAGACGTAGCCAACAGAGCATTCGAAAATCAATAGGGCCTACTACTCGACTTAACAACACCTCGTCAAGTCCGATTTGATATGTATACGAGCTCTGAGTAACCGAAAGGTCACAAACTAAAAACCGGGTCATCCGACGTTTCGGCCACCGAGAGATACACTCATGTCAAAATTTAGTGTTTGTGATGGCTAAGATACGCCATGTCTACAAGAGAATGTTGAGTCCTCAGTTCTTTAACAGTATGGGGCCTTCTCAGGGTTAAAAAACACGATTATTCAAACACTTAAAGCGACTATCTAATTATCCTAAGTGCTTCCAAAAAATGACGAAATCATCGAATTTAATCTTCAGCCGTTTTCGTTGCCGCGTCGGTTTTCGGTTGGTCAGACTGTCGGTTACGTGATGGCGGCAGCTTCTTCGGTCAGCACTGGAAAAGCTGACGCCACTGGTAAGTGTCTTTGGTGCTGCTGCAGCTCAGAATACCACGTTGTTGCCCTTCTTCGCAGCCACTGGCAGCCGCTCCCCGTGCAGAAACGGATTCGAGCGGACGCTCTAAAACCACAACCAAAAATATACACACTCTAATAATAACCAAAATTTCGGAAAATTGTCAAAAGTGGGCAACAAAAAAAATAAATCATACTTCAATACGTTTAATAAACCTATTATTATTTAATAGAACAAACGCCAACATTAAGTGCCTAAGTCACCATACCATAAGCGTCCATCTTCCATCACCTAGAAGCTAACATACCTTCCTGTCTTGATGGTACTTCTTCGCAACCAGATTCTTATGCTGCAAGCCCGGGTTCATCTACAACACAAAACTATACCCCTCTTACACACAAACCACCTTCAAACCTGCATGGTATGTTGCAAAAATCTGTTAAACTCCAAATCGTTGAACCCATCGAGAGAATCGTCCACCATGGAGTCCCCAGGATTGGGACTGGGACACTCGAACATATGCTCCGTGTCACACATACAGTCCTGGGCTCCTTGGTATCTCCGGCTATAAGATGCTGTATTTTCAAAGTCTTCGATGCAGCCTTGTTCAGCTACAAAAAACTATGTTTTCAGTGTTTCGAAGGTGTGACTATTAGTACCGGTGTATCCCACGGGACATGGGTTCGGCGGATTGCAGTAGGCGGGCAAGGTGGAATCGGACTTCACCTCCTGGATGTTCTTGAGGGAGCCCTGGGGGCGCAAGCGCTGCTTGCCCTCCCCGGCACCACCCGACATGAACTGACTCCCGTAGAGACTGGAGTGCTCCAGGAATTCCTGGTCCCGGATGCTGGGGTGGATGTTGGGTTCACCCAGCGTGTCGTAGTCCAGGGGGAAAAGAGGCTCCTCCTCCATGTCGCGGCTCAAGGAGCGCACGCCAAGGGGGAGGCGGGTGTCGGGGAAGTCCATGTAAGCTAGATCCGGGAGGTCCTTGCCCATGCGGCTGACGATCTCCCGGAGGAACACGCCGGACATAAAGTTGTCCTTTGAAGTACAATACAATGTAAAGATTCATACTGAGTCCGTTGATGTTTCTTCGTTATATTAATGACCTACTAGTGTACATATAACTCCTAGAGAGACTATATATTATATAGTAAAAGATGACTACGACTAGTTAGGGTGTGGAAACTCAGCTAAATAAAGAACAAAAAAAAAAACGGAAAAATGATTATTGAAATAATGTGATGTAATTTCTAAAAGCCAAATAACAAAAACACCGAAACACAAACAGTGGAAATGCGAAAACACGAAAGCGTGACATTTAAATTTCCCCCAAGCTACTCCCACTCATCCTACTCACTTTTCCATCTGGAATGTACCCGAAAGTGGCGGTCACACTCCACAAGATTATCGCCAAAATCATGGCGATAACGTTACAGGTGCCCTGAAAGCAAAATCAGCAATAATCAATCATCATCAACCCGTCACCGTTTTAATAACGCTCGCAGATTTCCGAGAACCTCATAATGGATTCAAACATCGCGATTTAAATAAATAAATATTTTTTCGTACGTGGGTTCATCTCATGAATGCGAACTACTTCTGAATGAACCACCTGTTCCGACGATCAATGAAACCAGGCTAAGAGAGACCACTCGTCGTCTCTTTCCCGTGATTACCATCGTCGAAAAGTGTCCCGGAACAACCTTTACCCTTTCCGGGCGCCCGGACTTTCCGCATGCAAGCCAGCAGGAGGGCTGCAGGACGGACAAAACGAATTGTTTGTTTATGTACTCACCCGTCAGTCGGAGCCGAAGTGCACGAGATTCGGGAATGTAGGCTATGTGAATCAATGACGCCTTTGCGCAGTGGACGTCACTGGGCGTCCCGACGGCGACGTCAATTCGGATTACTTCGGGGAAATCGATCATAATTTAATAGGTCCTGATTGCGATTTTAGCAACGCTTTTAATTACGTGTGACAACAAAGAGTTTGCTGTGGGGCGATAAATGGCTGACGTCAGCCGCTAATCGGGAAATGGGGCGATAAGAAAATCGATCCGTGGAAAAATAGTGCGATAGAGTGGGCTAAGACGCCGAAATGGATCGGAAAGCGATTAGTTCCTGAGGGACGCCCACGACCCAAAAATGATTAAAAATCAACAAAATAATATGCAGAGAGGAGTCTTGATTAAAGTTTGACGACGCATTCAAAATAAAACACCCAGTATATACTGATTCTTTTTTAATTTAATTAGTTGTAAAAATATTGTTAGGCAACCAACTTTACACACGTGTATTTGAAATATCCGCAAATTTGAATAACACCACCTCACGGGACCAGGCAGGGGTACCACCCCACCAGTAATAAAACCAAAATAGCTAGAATAAACCACCCACAAAAAGTATAATCCACACATTTCGACCACAAATCCATTAAGTTGACCCTCTGTACGAGTGCTTTTGCCCAAAGCTCGGTGTTTTTGGTGATTTTGCCCCTTTTCCACCCCGTGACAGCTACGGCTGCCACCCCTCCGCCGCCGATTTCCCCAGAATTTGGCGCCATTGTTGTGTACTTGTCACTTTTTCGTCATCTACGTTTCAACCGGATTTTTCCGACTTTCCAAATTCCATGTGCTTTTAACCGTCTCGAGCGCTATGGCTGAGAATTTAGACACCAGTGGGACCAGCGAGCAGACCCCGGAGGACTCCGAGGTGACCACGCTCACTCTCAACGACGTTTTGGAGCTCGAAGATGAGATGATCCAGGACGCAGCTGCCGTTCTGGGGGCGTCCAACGACAAGGCTTGCTCCTACAGCGACGTACGTATGGCCCCCTTGTTGTCCCAGTGTGACTGTGTGACTTTCAGGGTTATCTGAAGCGTCAGGCGCTGTATTCTTGCTTGACCTGCATCCCCGAGTCCAAGGAGGACCCCGAAAAGGGGGCCGGGATTTGTCTGGCGTGCAGCTACCATTGTCACGACGGCCACGAGCTCGTCGAGTTGTACACAAAGCGAAATTTTCGGTGCGATTGCGGGAATAGTAAATTTAAGGGGGTTAAATGCAACTTGTGCAACAACAAGGAGGAGTTGAATGAGGCGAATAAGTATAATCAGAATTTCAGCGGGATTTATTGCGTGTGCCACAGGCCTTATCCTGATCCGGAGGACCCGCTGCCGGATGAGATGATCCAGTGCATCATTTGCGAGGACTGGTACCATTCCAGACACTTGGGGGTGGAAATTCCAAGTGGTCCTTTTGCTGAGATGATTTGTGGGAGTTGCGTGAGCAAGCACGAGTTTTTGTTGCACTATGATGGGTCTAAACCCAAGGTTATGGGGGAAGGGGAATGTAAAAAACCAGTGAATAAGTCGGAGACTGTTGGGGCTAAATTCTGGCAGGATTTGGCCTGGAGGGGCGAGCTATGCACATGCGATGAGTGTTTAGAGATGTATAAAACCCAGAATGTGATGTTTTTGATTGATGCAGAGGATCCAGTACACTTGTATGAGGAGAAAGGAAAAGCCAAAGCTAAGGAGGTTGTGGAGACCCATAATAGGAATTTTATGAATTCTTTGGATAGGGTGCAGCTGGTGGAAGCCATCGCCGGGTATAACGATCTCAAGGAGAATCTCGCCGAGTATTTGAAAAAATTCGTTGAAAACAAGAAAGTGGTCAAGGAGGAGGATATTAGGGAGTTTTTCGACGGGATGATGGCCAGGAAGAAGCAAAAAGTCAGCGTGCCCCCTTTTTGTCATTAAATGTCTGTCAGTATTTATGGTTGTAATCCTAGTGGGAGTAACTATTTTTTTAATTCATTTTATTTTATTTTTTTGAATAGGGTCTAAATATGGATAAATTTATTAAAAATGTAATCAGCAGGAAGTAGTTTTATTTTCCACGTAATGACAGCTCTCTGATGGCGTCATCAAGCTTTAGAAACGAATGAACGTATAAATAATAATAAAACAAAAAAAAATACATTAATAAATAATTTTATTTGATTAAGATCTATCAATAGGAAAAAATCAAAAACACCCCCGTAAAAATAATTCACTTCGGGTGGAAGAAGTCCTCAACCACTGGATACAATCCGTTGAGGAAGAACGGCACATCCAGACACTTCACCCCCGTCCCGAAATAAAGAAACCCGTGTTTGGGCGTCTTCACCCAATGGTAAAAAAACATCCCCGGCCAGTACAGCGTCTTGAGCACCACCACCTCTTCGCTCGCCGTCATATTAACCGTCCAGCACCCCTCGGGAATATCCACATCTACCGAATCCAGAAAATCTATCGCTACATTATAATCATCCCTCGTCAACAAATTCGTGTTCCATTTCTGCTTGGGCACCCTATAATGCAAAAAACAGATCGTCTCCCGCGCCTCCACTGGAGTCAACCCCTCGAACGCCAAATTGTGCACTATCACCCCGTCCGCCCGCTTATACAGCGCCCCTCTGGGCACCACCGCCGCCTCCTCATTGATAAAAAACACCGTCGCTGATAAGCGATCCTCCTCTTTGAGTTTTTTCACCTGGGGCTCGGGCAGCGGGTCGCCGAAGGAGATTTCGTCCTTTTCGAGCAGCACGTCTAGAACTAGAGCGGGGTCGCCTTGAAACATGGCTGTGCATAGAGGGGTGAGTTTCTTGGCGTATTCGGTGGGGAGGGGGAGTAGTCCCCAGTTGAGGCAGTTCGTGCTGTAGTAGAAGGTTCGGTCGAGGAGGGCGTCCGTTCGGTAGCCGAAGGCTATGTAGTAGTCGTTGTCGGTGCCGCGGATTCGGCCCCAGAAGAAGATGCGGCGGAAGTGGTTCTCGTTCTGGAGGATGAGGAGGGAGTTGTGGAGGATGAGGCCCTCTTCGGTGGTGATGACGTGACCCCACTGCTCCGAGAGGTGTATGGTGTCGAGGACTTCATCGAGGTCCATTTCTGACTTTGACAATGGCAGGTTTGCACGGAAGGGGTGATTTTTTGAATTTGGCGCCACGGGAGAGGAGCGGTGACAGGGCAGGGGCGGAATAGTTGGTTGGGTTTTACGGTAAAAAGTGTCCATTTTGTCATAAAAGAAAGACAACACGATTAAAAAGGAGAAGGAAAAAGCGACAAAGGAGAGCCAAAAAATACAAAAAAAAAAAACACAAAGAACGGAGGCAACAAAAACATCGACCAAAAAAAACTACAAAAATTCGGTAAAAAGAAGGAAAACAACGCGATAAAAAAACTCACGAAGAATCTAACAACAACAAAAAAAAAAAGGAAAAAGGGGAGACAAAACTGCAATAAAAAAATCCGACAAACAAAAAAACAACTTCAAAAGGCACCAAAAAATGCAACAAAAAAGAAGAAAACCACAATAAATAATACCACAAAAAAGGCGATGAAAACAGATGACAAAAAAAAGGGACATTAAACTGTGACAAACAAAAGGAGTAAGCAAAAAAATGGACAATAAACGCGGAAAACAAAGACGACAAAAAGTTGCTACAAAAAAACATTAAAACCAAAAATAAATAAATAAATAAAATAAAAACCTTTTATTAAAAAAGAGAACAAAAAATTGAAAAGAATGCCAAAAGGACAACAACAAAAATGTATGTCAAAAAAACAAAAAAAAGCTAAAAAATAGAATAAAAAAGGGGAAAAAAGAGTCATAAAAAAAAGGAGGCAATAAACTGTAACAAAAAATGCAGCCAACACAAAAAAGTAACAAAAAGGGAAGCAAAAGAACATGAAAAACAAAGATAACAACAAAAATTCAGAAGCAAAGGTCACAAAAAACAAAAAAGGGGAAAAAGAGAGACCTAAATCGCGAAAAACAAGCCACAAAACAAAACAAAGTTGACAAAACCGGGACAAAAATTCACACAAAAATCCTGAAAAAAATTCAACAAAATGAAGACAAAAAAGTAACAAAAAATACACAACTGTGACAACAAAAAACAACAAAAAGAAAAAAGTGATGAAAACGGAAAAAAAACACGAAAAAAAAGCTAACAAAAAAGGGCCGAAAAGATACATTATAAAAAAATTTTAAACAAAAAAGGTTAACAAAAAAAACCTGGAAACAAAAGCCACAAAAAAAGGACACAAAAGAAAAGAAGCAGACAAAAATTGCAAAAAACGCCACAGAGTGAGGCAATAAAACGGGAACAAAGAAGGGACAAGAAAAAACGGGACAAAAACATAAAAACCTACAAACAATTCGAAAAAAAGAAGGAACAACAAAAAGGCACAAATACAACAAAAAAAAACCTGGAAACAAAAGCCACAAAAAAAGGACACAAAAGAAAAGAAGCAGACAGAAATTGCAAAAAAAGCCACAAAGTGAGGCAATAAAACGGGAACAAAAAAGGGACAAGAAAAAACGGGACAAAAACATAAAAACCTACAAACAATTCGAAAAAAAGAAGGAACAACAAAAAGGCACAAATACAACAAGAAAAAGGAGAAAAAAGAAGAGGACAATAACCTCGATAAAACTTGCGGCAAGCAAAAGAACGACAAAAAAGGTAACAAAAAAGCAATAAAAATAAATATGACAAATAAAAAAAACAATGAAAAAGACGACAAAAAAGTGCAACATAAAAAAAGAAGGCAGTAAACGGTTACAAAACAAAATGCACTAACGCAAGAAGTGACAAAAAAGGGGAACAAGAAAAACAAAGACAAAAAAAAGGGGACAAAAAAGCCGCAACAAAAAAATACGAAGGGCTAACATAAAAAAAGCGGAAACAAAGGCCACAATAAAAGAGAGAAAAAAGGAAAACAACAATCACAAAAAACAACAAATAAATACGATAAAAAGGGATACAAAAAAGAAAAAGGCAATCAGAATAGAAGACCAAAAAATAGAAAAACTACGATGAGAAGAAAGCTGGACAAAAAAAACTAGAAAAATTTCGGAGGAAACACCGAAGAAGTCACAAAGAATGCAACAACAAAAGAAAAGGAAAAAGAAGGAGACAAAAATCTGGATACAAATTACGACAAACAAAAAAACGACAAAAAAGGCAATGAAAGGGGGATAAAAATGGAACAAAAAAAAGAAGAAAACCACAATAAATGCGATAGAGAAAAGCGATCAAAAAAGATGACAAAAAGAGCGACAAAAAGTGAAAAATATATAAAAAGTAAAATTCCAGGAAAAAAAGAACAAAAAAAAAAACAAAAAAAATGAGAATAGGTGGACTAAAACAGCAATAAAAACTTGCCACAAACAAAAAAACGATAAAAAAAACAACGAAAGATTGAAAAAATATATTTAAAAAATGGCAATAAATTGTAACAAAGAATACACCAAACACAAAAAAATCTTTAAACTTTAAACTTTATTGATCATTCTACAGGTAAAAAAATGATGAAATGACAAATAGGAGAACAAAAGAACAGGAAAAATAAAGATAAAAAACCGCGACAAAAAACGATTAAACAAAAAAAGCTAATAACAAAAAACACGAAAATAAAGGTCATAAAAAAACAAAAGAAGGGAAAAAACATAGATGATAGATAAAAAGCGGGAGAAAAATCGACACAAAAAGCCTCCAAAAAAAAAAAAAAACGACAAGAAAAAGGGAGAAATAAAAAAACAATAAGAAAAGAAGGGAGAAAAATAGCAAAAAAGTACAAAGAAAGACAATAAAATGGGAAAAAAACCCGGAACAACAAGACACAAGAAAAATCACAAAACACGCAACAAGAAAAAAAATGAAAAAAAAGAGAATAACCTCAAAAAAAAATTGTAACAAACGAAAGAACAACAAAAAAGGCAGCAAAAAAGGATAAAAATGGAACAGAAGAAAAGAAATAGGATCACAATATAGATTACTGATAAAAATGTGAAAAACGACAACAAAAAGAGCAACATAAAAAAAGGAGCAACAAACTGTAACAAAAGAAAATGCAGCAAACACAAAAAAGTAACAAAAAAAGGAAACAAAAAAAAAGAAGAAAAACAAAGATAACAAAAAGTGAGCAAAAAGCCACAAAAAAACGACAAAAAAAGGGAGAAATAAAAAACACAACACGAAAGCCGAAACTGTGACAAAAAAAGCAGCAAACAAAAAGAATGACAAAAAGGGGAATAGAAAAAACATGGAACAAAGGCCACAAAAAAAAGAAAAAAGAAAAGAAGGGAGAAAAATAGCAAAAAAGTACAAAAAAAAGACAATAAAATGGGAAACAAAAACTCGGAACAAGACACAAGAAAAATCACAAAACATGCAACAAGAAAAAAAATGAAAAAAAAAAGATAATAACCTCAAAAAAAAAATTGCAACAAACGAAAGAACAACAAAAAAGGCAGCAAAAAAGGATAAAAATGGAACAGAAGAAAAGAAATAGGATCACAATATAGATTACTGATAAAAATGTGAAAAACGACAACAAAAAGAGCAACATAAAAAAAGGGCAATAAACTGTAACAAAAGAAAATGCAGCAAACACAAAAAAGTAACAAAAAAAGGAAACAAAAAAAAGAAGAAAAACAAAGATAACAAAAAGTGAACAAAAAGCCACAAAAAAACGACAAAAAAAGGGAGAAATAAAAAACACAACAAGAAAGCCGAAACTGTGACAAAAAAAGCAGCAAACAAAAAGAGTGACAAAAAGGGCGAATAGAAAAAACTTGGAACAAAGGCCACAAAAAAAAGAAAAAAGAAAAGAAGGGAGAAAAATAGCAAAAAACTACAAAAAAGACAATAAAATGGGAAACAAAAACTCGGAACAACAAGACACAACAAAAAAATCACAAAACATGCAACAAGAAAAAAAATGAAAAAACGAAACAACAACAAAAAAGGATAAAAATGGAACAGAAGAAAAGAAATAGGATCACAAAATATATTACTGATAAAAATGTGAAAAATGACAACAAAAAAAGCAACATAAAAAGGGCAATAAACTGTAACAAAAGAAAATGCAGCAAACACAAAAAAGTAACAAAAAAAGGAAACAAAAAAAAGAAGAAAAACAAAGACAACAAAAAGTGAACAAAAAGCCACAAAAAAACTTATTAAACAAAAGGCTAGCATAAAAAACGCGGAAAGAAAGGCGACACAAAAGAGAGAAAAAAAGGAAAACAAAAATTACAAAAAACAACAAAGACGATAAAAAGGGATACAGAAGAAAAAGGCAATCAGAACAGAGGGAGACAAAAACCGGGATAAAAAATTACGATAAACAAAAAGGTGATAGAAAATGGAAAAAATGAAAACAAAAAAGGGAAAAAACGCGAAAAACAAAAACAATAAAAAAGCAAAAAAAGCGATAATGAAAAGATAAAAATTACTAATTTAAAATGTCCAGAATTAAGCGAAATTACACTCTAAACAGGTTTAGATCGACTTCTACCGATTTTTGTTTTAAATTTTGATGATAGGCAACCAGTAATACGTCAGTGTGATGGGCTGCATTATGACTAAAGAAAGTACATGATCGCATTGAATGTTTTTAGAGTTACGTATTGTCGCAGAAGTTATTTATTCTAGATAAACAGGTTTAGTTTTTATTTAATCAGAAAGAATGATATTCATTTATAATGATTGTCAGTCTTTAGATATGAAATAAATTTGAATAAAAAATTGCAAACAAAGCTCATAATTTATTATTATAAAATACCAAAGTGACGTTTATGAAAAAAATTGATTGATGTGAAATTTTAAAATATGCAGGCACTGACTACCTATGTAGATAATATTTTATAACCTAATGGAAAATCGTGCTTGTTATTTTTATTATTTTATCGAACTGTGTTGACTGTGTCCCCTTTAACTGTGTGCGAACGCCGCCACTGGCTCCATTTGGCATGCTGTTTCTAGAGCGGTTGACAAATGATCCGCAAAATTTAAAAATAATAAGCTTATCAGTTCTATGATAAATGATTGCACTCATTTTAACATTTTTTCGGCAATTTATCTTGCAGTCTGATCGCCACCATTATCAGTCACTATGTACCTTCTATAAATACGAAACCAAACCTGTCAACAAATAACGAAAATAAAAATTGTTTACAACAATAATTGTTTACAACAATAATTGTTTACAACAATAATTGTTTACGTAAACACGTTGCCCACCCTCCCCTTGTCGTTTTCGATTTTGGCGCCACCGTCACGTGTGTGCCGCCAGAGGTCGCTTCGTCGATCAGTTGACTTGACATTTTGTGAGAACCAGCTCAACGTAGGTGAATGTTGTGAAATATTTTTATTTTCCCCGAATTTTCCGTTCCTTATTGTTCTAACTAAGACTCAGTGTCGCCCCGAAGTGCCCGCCACCATGGAAATGTGAAGTCCACCACCCAAGGTGAGCCCCTCGAAAATCGCGATCCAGAGCTGTCTCCGCTCAATTCGCGTCCGCTTGCCGTTGACCCCTCCGCAAGCCATGTGCTCCCGTTTTTCCGCGTCCTTATCGCGCCCCCTCCCTTAATCCGCCGCCGCTAACCCCCGTTGTCTTTCCAGGAGAAGCAGAGCTCGAGCCCTACGGGTGCCCCGAACTTGTCAAAGGTCAGCTAAAAGGTACGTACGACCTTTGCCCGTCCCACTTTCCGTTTTTCCGGAAAACGCTCTCGCACCTGAACAGCTGATCGCCTCTTTGTTCTCGTGACATTTCGAGAGCATTCTCACGGCAACGAATCGCGTAAATTCTTTGTTTAAATCCATTAAACTCAACGTCATTGTGTCTGTTCATGTGCCTGAATTCGGAAGGAAAACTCGGACCTGTGGCGAACGAAGGGCGTGAGTATGGCAGATTTTTGCGACCTCCACCGGCCGCCTCGACGGGTTTATTTTGGCTGGGCAATGACCCTCCTAACGAATTTCCTAATCCAACTCGCATTGGGTTGACGCGATTGTTGTTACTTGGCAGCTTTCACACATCATTTCGCGTTTTTTTGCGTGCATCCGACTCGAGGGGGAGCAGCGGCGGTGCCAAGATGCGGCTTGAAGAAACCGGGGCTCCTGAACGCCCGGAGACGAAGCCCCGGATGAATCACGTTGGGTTTTCGAGTGTTGTTTGTTCGGCACACGGGACGGAGTTGCATCACGTGTTGCTAAACATGAGTCGGCAATCGGTATTGTGTGATCACAATCGGATTTTTGTTGGAGGACGTGTGAGGAGCCCGAAGAGCACGTTGTACAGGATGTTTCACCGAAAACGGCCGCCCGGAGCGATCCAACAGCGCCGAAAGCCTTGCCGGAAAGAACGGGAGAATCAAACCGCGCCGATGATATCAATCTCTCTAATATTGCAAAAACTGATAATCAGAGATAGGTATTGATTTCCAGACAATAGTTTTGCGACGACCGCGACGAGAACGTCGAAAAAATTTTAAAACAACTACACACGATAACGAAAACACGCGGAACACGTTATCGTTATTGGGAAAAAACGGATAATACAATACCACTTGTGAAAAACAGGTACGATGTTGTGTATATATGGCTTTCAAAGTCGTGACCTCACTCTTACGTTTTTAAATAGCGGGAATGACAAAATTTTGTAACCTTCAAATGTTTTCTAACCGAGTTTTTGTGTTTTTTTTTTTGTAACCTCAGTAATTTTGGTGATTTTGGATTTGCGAAGTTTGTAATTCGCGCCCTTGTGACGTCACGATTTCTAAATGACCGCTATTGGTTGCTAACCCGGAATCGACCAATGACAATGCAGCAGCCGGCACTGGCGTTCGTTGTTTTATTATTTACGTTTTCACGGGTTGATTTTAAAACAGAGTCCCTTGACGGTATCATAAATACACATTTTTAACAAATCGCAATAATAGGACGGTTCATAATTTAAAAGCAATTTAAACGGGTTTCGCTTGGGAGCATTGATTTCCACAAATTTAATCAAAGTGCGGGTTTTCAGCGGCCACTTTATAAAGAAAATTAAATTGAGGGTTTACAGTTGAGGGAGTTTTATTAATCCGAAAATTCACTTATGTTCCTATTTTTTTTTTTACTTACCGAGCGTAAAGTAAGGAAGTCGAGTACATCGGGCGACTGGCGGCTTTCATGTTTTTTCGACGTTTTATGACCCCTAGAGTACGAAAAACTATGTCTCCCATTTCCGTCTGTCTGTCTGTCGTCTGTCCGTATTTTTATTAGGTAGATGATCTCCGAAACCACCGACCGGTTTGTTGTAAAATTTTGTTATATATGTTGCCTTACAATGTTATGTAGATAGTAAAACGGAAAAATTTGTTTTTTAGCCATTCAAATTTTTGGAAAAAAATCAAAATTGTTTAAAATTTTCCAATTTAATTTTGAAATTGCGGAGTCAAATGCTTTGCAATCTTGCAGACATTTTAAGGTTCATGAAACCGTGTTGAACTTTTATCCTAGACGTCTAGATTTTTCAACTTCTCGATTTTCCTGGAACTTTCAGTTTTTCAGGTTTTTGATTTTTCAATTTTTCGTTTGTTGAAATTTTCGATTTTTCGATTTTTTGATCGTTCGACTTTTCGGTTTTTCGAATTTTCAATTGATTTTTCAATTTTTCTTTTGTTCAAATTTTCGATTTTCTAACTTCGATTTCTCTAGTTTTCAAATTTCGAATTCTCACTTTTTCAATATTTTTGTTTTTCTTCAATTTTTCAATTTTCAGTTTTTCGATTTTCAATTTTTCGATGTTTCAATGTTGTAATTTTTCAATTTTTCGATTTCTCAGTTTTCCAGTGTTTCACTTTTGCGATTTTTCAATTTTTGACGATTCTAAATTTTCGATTTCTGACTTCAGTGTTTCAGATTCGATTTTTCAATTTTTACGTTCTTGATTTTTGGGTTTTTCAAATTCTCGATTCTTGGATTTCTCAATTTCTCGATTTTTTGATTTTTGAACTTTTCGATTTCTCGCTTTTTCAGTGTTTCGATTTCTCGATTTTTCAGTTGATTTTTCAATATTTTTGTTTTTCTTCAGTTTTTCGATGTTTCAGTGTTGGGATTTTTCAACTTCTCAATTTTTCGATTTTTTAATTTTGACGTTTCTAAATTTTTGATTTCTGACTTTTAAATGTTTCGGTTTCTAGATCTTTCAGTTTTTCAGGTTTTTGATTTTTCAGTTTTTTGTTTGTTCAAATTTTCGATGTTCCGACTTTGATTTTTCGAATTTTCGATTTCTCGATTTTTCAAATTTCGAACTCCCAGTTTTTCAACATTTCAGTTTTGGCATTTTTTGTTTTTTTTTCCTTCAATTTTTCGTTTTTCAATTTATCGATTTTTCAACTTTTCAATTTTCAAATTTTTTCGTTTCTCGATCTTTCAGTTTTTCAGGTTTTTGATTTTTCGTTTGTTCAAATTTTCGATTTTTCGAATTTTGGATTTCTCAATTTTTCAAATTTCGAATTCTCAGTTTTTCTTCAATTTTTCGATTATTCAGTTTTTCAATGTTTCAGTGTTGGGATTTTTCAATTTTTCGATTTTTTAATTTTAACGTTTCTAAATTTTTGGTTTCTGACTTTTAAATGTTTCGGTTTCTAGATCTTTCAGTTTTTCAGGTTTTTGATTTTTCAGTTTTTTGTTTGTTCAAATTTTCGATGTTCCGACTTTGATTTTTCGAATTTTCGATTTCTCGATTTTTCAAATTTCGAACTCCCAGTTTTTCAACATTTCAGTTTTAGCATTTTTTGGTTTTTTTCCTTCAATTTTTCGATTTTCAATTTATCGATTTTTCAACTTTTCAATTTTCAGATCTTTTCGTTTCTCGAGCTCTCAGTTTTTTATGTTTTTGATTTTTCGATTTTTCGTTTGTTCAAATTTTCGATTTTTCGAATTTTGGATTTCTCTATTTTTCAAATTTCGAATTCTCAGTTTTTCAATATTTTTGTTTTTCTTCAATTTTTCGATTACTCAGTTTTTCAATGTTTCAGTGTTGGGATTTTTCAATTTCTCAATTTTACTATTTTTTAATTTTGACATTTCTAAATTTCCGATTTCTGACTTCTCAATGTTTCGGTTTCTAGATCTTTTGGTTTTCCAGGTTTTTGATTTTTCAGTTTTTCGTTTGTTCAAATTTTCGATTTTCCGACTTTCATTTTTCGATTTCTCGATTTTTCAAATTTAGAATTGTCAGTTTTGGCATTTTTTTTGTTTTTTCTTCAATTTTGAGATTCTTCAACATTTCAGTTTTGGCACTTTTTTGGTTTTTTTTCCTTCATTTTTTCTATTTTCAATTTTGAGATTTCTCAATTTTTTCATGTCTCATTTTAATGATTTTTGAATTTTTCAAATTTTGGCGATTCTCAGTTTTCGATTTCTGAATTTTCAAATTTTCGATTTTTCAGTTTCTCGATTTCCAATTTTTTGATCTTTATTTTTTCATTTTTCGATTTCTCAATTTTCGGATTGTTCATTTTCACGAGTTTTCATTTTTTGATGTCTCTAAATTTTCGATTTCTCGATTTATGGATTTCTTTATTTTTCAGTTTTTCAGGTTTTTGATTTTTTCTTTGTTCAAATTTGTACTTTTTTGACTTTTCGATTTCTCGATTTATGGATTTATCTGTTTTTCGTTTTTCGATGCTTCAATTTTGAGATTTTTTAATTTTTCGATTCTTTAATTTTTTCGATATTTCTGTTTTGGGACTTTTCATTGTTTCAGTTCTTCAATTTTTCAATTCTTCGATATTACTTTTTTTTAATTTTTCGAATTTTTTGATTGTAGATTTTTTAATTTTTTGATATTTCGACATCTCGGTTTTAGATTTTTCTGTTTTTAAATTTTTCGATTTCTCGATTTTTTAATTTTTCGATTTATGGATTTTAAAAATTTTTTGATTTTTCGACTTTTCGGTTTTTCAGTTTAAGCGATTTTATAATTTCCGTCATTTCTTGATTTTTCAAGTTTTCGATTTCTTAAAATTTGGATTTTTCAATTTCTCCAAGTTCACTTTTAAAATTTTTCAAATTTCGAATTCTCAGTTTTTCAACATTTCAGTTTTGGTATTTTTTGTTTTTTTTTTTCATTTCTTCGATTTTCAATTTTTCGATTACTCAGTTTTTTGATGTTTCAGTGTCGAAATTTTTCATTTTTTCGATTTCTCAATTTTCCGATATCTCACTTTACGATTTTTGAATTTTTCAATTTTTGACGATTCTCAGTTTTCGAGTTCTGAATTTTCAAATGTTTCGGTTTCTAGATCTTTCAATTTTTCACGTTTTTGATTTTTCGAATTTTCGTGTGTTTGAATTTCCGATTTTTCAGTTTCTCGATTTCCAATTTTTGGGTTTTTATTTTTTCTTGATTTTTTCATTTTTCGGTTTGTCAATTTTCCGATTGTTCATTTTTACGAGTTTTCAATTTTTGACGTCTCCAAATTTTCGATTTCCCGATTTATGGATTTCTTCGTTTTTCAGGTTTTTGATTTTCCCTTTGTTTAAATGTTTGATTTTTCGATTTTTGGATTTGTCAGTTTTTCGTTTTTCGATGTTTCAATTTTGAGATTTTAAAAATTTTTTCGATTTATCAATTTTGATATATTTCAGTTTTGGGACTTTTCACTTCTTTTCACAGTTCTTCAATT